GAAAGCCAGTTTCTAATGAACCACAGCCGTTATATCAGATACTTATATTTGCATATAGAATTACTGTATATGTATATAAATGCTTACACAGGTGGGTAGCTGCGTCAGCATGCATAGTCTGTAAAGGAACAAGTAATAGGTTTTATCCGTGCTAAAGAGAGAAGAAAGAAAACACAACGTTTCAGCTATGGAGCCTTCTTCGGGTGTCACACCACAGCAGAAACGTTGTGTTTTCTTTCTTCTCTTTTTAGCATGAAATAAACCCATTACTTTTTCCTGTAATGTTACACGTCTGTTGTCCTGTATTGTAAAAGGCTGTTGTACTGCACTGGGACTGTAGCTCCTATTGAAACAGGCTGTTGTACTGCACTGGGACTGTAGCTCCTATTGTAACAGGAGTGTTGTACTGTACTGGGACAATAGCTCCTATATTAACAGAATGTCTGTACTGTACTGGGACTGTCACTCCTATTGCAACAGGACTGTTGTACTGTACTGGGACTGTAGCCCCTATTGTAACAGGACTGTTGTAGTGTAATAAAAAGAGCTCACACCCGGAGAAGGCTTCTCAGCCAAAACATTGTGTTTTCTCTCTTCTCTTTTCAACATGGAATAAACCTTTTACTTGTTCCTAAATGCTTACACAGATCACCATGGATGCTGTTTTACAAGAGATCACCATGTATCATGTAATTAAAATTTTATACAATAAAACACCATTAAAAGTGCAAATAATCTGTGTAAAAGTGAAGAAGCTAAAATTGCGAGAGAGAAGATTTCTGTGAAGTCTGTGCTGTTTATATAAACCTTAAACAGAGTGTTGTAGCTTTTTAACAAATATTGAGGGGTTACACTCACTTTGTTCATCTGTGTTTCCCCAGCCCGCAACCCAGCAGCTGGTCCCAGTGTGGAAGGAGCTGCTGTTGTCAGCCAGACAGATGGGCTGGATGTAGCTGGTGAAGTTGACAGGGCTGCTCAGCTTCAGCAGGGCGATGTCGTTGTTCAGACTCCAAGAATCAAAGTTAGGGTGTATGATGATCTGGCTGACCCTTCTAGACACTTCATGTGGGTTAGAGGCCACCTGTGTCAACCTGCCCAGATACACTCGGTAGAAACTGATACCACTGTAGCTGTATGAGAAAGACAGGCAAGATGTCAGAAAATAGAGAAATACCATTCCTGAGAGTGCAGGGCCACCATAATTTAACAGTTCATCCATGCACCATTAAATTCATGAAACGCTTTAACTGGTCAAATTACCTGTAGATGCAGTGTGCAGCTGTCAGCGCCCACTGGTGGTTGATCAGAGACCCTCCACACACATGTTGTCCATAATAATACAGGTTAACTTGCCAGGGCCAGTACCCATCTGGGGCAGCGTCACCCTGCATGATCCTGGTACTGAGAGGCGCCCGCCCACACTCTGCAGAAAGGGAACACAGTCCTCAGCTGTTG